TTAAACTTCCATGAACCTGTAATTCAATACCTTTATCGTTTTTATTATTTTTCTTTCGTACTCTATTGATATTCTCCCATACTTCTCTATTCCCCTTTGCATCCTATAAATCAATACAAATTTTGCTTTCGCTTTTCTCAATTCCTTTACAACTTTATTACGTAAGTGCTGAAATGTCCTTCTATCATGAGCTAACCCTGATTTAAGCGCTATTTTTTAAAGCATGGTCCCTCTGTTTCGTTAACTTCCATAATTATTCATTTAGCCAAGGCAAATTCTGCTTCTTTCTAGAAAAAGTGACATTTTTACTAAATTCACCCTTAATCTTATTAATTATTACCATTAAACATTCAGAGGCAGCTTCTAAATTATCTGTAGCCAGAATCTCATTCCAATCTAGTTTTTTAAATTCCTCTTCAAATTTGTTTTTAAGTCTTTTTGGTATAATATTTAGCACATTTTCTTTTTCTTATTGATATAAAAACCTGTGTTTTGTTAATTGTCTTACCACTAATATAAGATTATGATCTGATATTATGATCTGATAGCCTAATAAATGTATTGACTTTCTGGTTTGTTGCTAAATATTAAATCAATTTGAGTTTCAGATGATGAGGTGATTCTAGTAGGGCCCTGGATTAACTGTATGAGGTCAAAATGACTTACTATCCCCTGAAGCTTTTTCCTATCTTCTGACAGCATTAAAGTTCAAACCTGTTGTTCCAGTGTCTGGATTCGACCCTCGGCTCTCGCCAGCTGTGTCAATAACTCCAGCTTCTCACTGTCTGAGAAAGGCTGATGGGTCTGACATCAGAAGCAGTAATAAAATAAAGAGTGTTGTTCATGCAGCATATTTGAGGTGTAACTAGTGGTGGTCTCAGGTTTACCTGCACAGGCTGCTGAATGATAACAGGTGGTGGGAGATTACGCAGTCTTTGCAGCTCTTCTCTGAGTCGAGAGTTTTCTGCCGCCAGCACAGGCTCGATCTCTCTCCTCTTGAGCTCCTCTGCATCTATATACATACACGGCACGTTTACATAGTCATTTGTTGTGCTTTTGACAATTTGTATTAATAAATATAGTAGAAAGAGGACAAGAAATTACGGAAAGAGAGAGTAGAAATGTAATTAGGTGTTCCAAGCGAGCTAACTACTGCTTATATGTACTTTTACGTAGTAATCTTTGGCACGTATTTTTTTAGCTTGTAATACCGACATGAATAATACACAAAATCATGTGCTAAAAATTCAGAGCACCTTAGTGAACACATCAGTGGTGTCTACTAAGCTATTTCTGTTTCTAATACTATTAAGAACTAATCAGAGCGTAACTTGTGCTAAGGAAAGTAATGATACTTCCAAACATGTGCTAAAACCCACTCAGAACACCTTAGCTGAATTTGCTAAGTTAACTTTTGCTAAAGCCTAAGCTGGTTGGCTGGTTTTAGCTGGTTTAAGATGGAAGTAGCTGGTTTTAGCTGGTCTCCTGGCCATGCTGGTCAAGGTGGTTTTAGCTAGTTGTTCGAGCTGGTCTCCCAGCCTGACCATCTAAATGGCCAAAACCCCTCTAAAACCAGCCTGCTGACCAGCCTAGACCAGCCTAGACCATGCTGGATGACCAGCTAAAACCAGCCTGCTGACCAGCCTAGACCATACTGTGTGTTCCAAGCAAGCTAACTACTGCTTATATGTACTTTTACGTAGTAATCTTTGGCACATATTTTTTTAGCTTGTAATACCGACATGAATAATACACAAAATCATGTGCTAAAAATTCAGAGCACCTTAGTGAACACATCAGTGGTGTCTGCTAAGCTATTTCTGTTTCTAATACTATTAAGAACTAATCAGAGCGTAACTTGTGCTAAGGAAACTAATGATACTTCCAAACATGTGCTAAAACCCACTCAGAATAACACCTTAGCTGAATTTGCTAAGTTAACTTTTGCTAAAGCCTAAGCTGGTTGGCTGGTTTTAGCTGGTTTAAGATGGAAGTAGCTGGTTTTAGCTGGTCTCCTGGCCATGCTGGTCAAGGTGGTTTTAGCTAGGTCTCCCAGCCTGACCATCTAAATGGCCAAAACCCCTCTAAAACCAGCCTGCTGACCAGCCTAGACCATACTGGATGACCAGCTAAAACCAGCCTGCTGACCAGCCTAGACCAGGCTTGATGACCAGCTAAAACCAGCCTAGACCAGCCTAGACCAGGCTGGATGACCAGCTAAAACCAGCCTGCTGACCAGCCTAGACCAGCCTAGACCATACTGGATGACCAGCTAAAACCAGCCTAGACCAGCCTAGACCATGCTGGATGACCAGCTAAAACCAGCCTGCTGACCAGCCTAGACCATGCTGGATGACCAGCTAAAACCAGCCTGCTGACCAGCCTAGACCAGGCTGGATGACAAGCTAAAACCAGCCAACCAGCATAGGCTGTTTTTTTTCAGCAGGTAATACTTTTGCTAATACTTACCATTAAGTATTGAGTACTCAGGAGTACTCATTGAGTACATATTCATATTCAGAGTAGGTTTTTTAGCATTGTAGCGGCAAGTTTTGAAAATGTAAAAATCTAATAAATTATGTCAGAATGATAATATTACGATAGAAATCTGGGAGAAAAAAATGCCAGCTAGTTAATATTGGTGGTGGTAAAAGTTTACTAAACGGGCTGAAGAAATGGCAGCATTACCTGTATACGCATTAGAACAATGCCTTGACTAATCTTTATATGCTTAAATGAGATGTGGGAAGTGGGAGGAATTATACCGATCCGGTCAGCAATCTCGCTCTTGGTCATGACGTCAGTGTCGGTGTCGTCCAGCAGGGTGAGGTCCTGATGCAGAGACAGATCCCGCCGCAGCTGACTGTTCTCAGACTCCAGCGCGCTCACCTGAGAGCGCAGCGCCAGGATGTCATCTGCCATCTTATGCATCGCCGCACGGTAGTTTTCCAGCTCCTGCAGGAGAAATAAAAATGGATTTGTACATACAATATGACCTGCAAATATGGATTTCAATTACTTTCCATTTAGGAGTTTCCTATAAGTAGGCTATATACAAACCTAGCCCTAGAAAATATGATGGTATCAGATGGAGGTAGCATGGTACTTTGGTATACACCACAGTTTTTGTTGTTTTTTTCAGTTTTGTACTCCAAGATGGATAAAAGAATACCATTGTACTATCTTGTAATTTGGTGTTTATCCTAACATTGATTTTTATAAAGATTAGAACAATAGATTTTGTAATCATCATCCATTATTAATTCATACTGACAATGTTTGAAAGCATTTATAGTCAAGATTCATTAATGAAGGGCCACAAGTGGTGCTAAGGGTCTGCAAAAAAAAAGAATAATAATAATAATTATATATATAGTATACACACACACACACACACACACATATGTATACATATATGTATATATCTATATATATATGTGTGTGTGTGTGTGTGTGTATAAGGCTCTCAAAGGTTTTTTAACATTTTTAATAATTTAATAATTATAATAAGAATAACTGTATTCTTTTAATAAATAAATTTAATAAAAAGGACACATTTTCCTTAATATATTAACAATTTAGTACAATGTCAATTTAAAAGCCAGTTATTTCATTTTGGAAACATTTATTTAATTCTGTAATGTACATGTAATATCTTTCTCGCACAAGAATATGATGGTTTAAGCTGGTCTCCCAGCTAAAGAAGTGGCCAAAACCCCTCTAAACCAACAAGCTAAACCAGCTATGACTAGTCTGGAAGCTAAAACCAGCCAACCAGTTTAGGCTGGGTTTAGCAGGTTTTCTTTTTTTTTAGCAGACCCCTAGCGCCACTTGTGTCTCTCTCCAGCAGGGGGAGTATAAATAGATTTGTACACATGAAATATAGCTGCTTTTATATCTTGGTAAGGGTGTAGGAACACAAGGAGATCATCATATTTAAGGGTCATTGGCATCAACAAGTTTAAATATCCATCCTGTATTTGTTTGACCATTAATAGACCTTAGTCAGGTTAGGTTATGGTAAGGGTTAAGGTCTATGCAGAGAGTGACAGTTGCAGTTTGCTGCCACAAGGTAGAATCAAAGTCACATGTGTTGTGATCAGTCGGGATGCTGAGGGCTTCACCGCGCCAAAACAGCCTTAACATCAGTCTGTGTGTCTGAACTCGACTATCTAATTAACATGAATTTAAATGCTTTGCTCAAACCATTTAATCATTTTAAAAGCCAAGACAAATAAACTGTTACTTTTAAAGCGTGGTTGGGTTGAAACAGCCGCTGTCATACAATCAGTCAGTCTGAAAAGGCTTCGCTGTAGAGCTAGTACAAAGTAATCAATCCTCGGGCTGTAGTTTCTGGCAGATACTGAAACCCGAGTGAGAACTGGGTACACAGAGGATATATACAGGGATTACGATGAAATCCACCAAGTGAAAGGTATTTTCTTCCAGAATCCCTTTTCTGAAACTGCTGGACATTGATCAAAATGTGCAGGCAGACATTGTCACCTAAAGTAAAGCTAGACAGAGCTAAAATTATACCGTCACAGTCATATACCCTTGTGAAAAATATAAGTAATTGTGCTGAATGTGGACTTGTAGTGTGCTTCAAATCTTAAAAGTATATTTTTAGAAACTGTACTTGCATATAGAAAGCCATGTGTAGGTTACTTTAAGAGACACGCTTTCACAACACACTTAAGTATGCTTCCTAACACACTTAAGAACACTTTTAAAAAGTGCACTTTGTAAATGTCAAAGTAAAGGTTTTCCTTATCTTTTATTGTGCTTTAAAGAAGTAAACGCATTTTGATTGGTTTACTAACATACTAAAGCACACTGATTATAACTGTAAATGTTATTTTAAATGATAATTTTAAGTGTTATTAAATACATGACATACACATTTAAATAGAAATGACATGAAAGTATAATTTCATTTACTATAGATGTTTGTCAGTACATTCGGCAGTACACTTTAACAATATTTCTAAGACAATAAAGTAAATATGTACTCAAGTCCTACTTAAGTATGTCAACAAGCACTCTTAAGTTTAACTATTTGCATTTAATATAAATTTAAACTCTGATACGTGTCATGCAATTAAGTGTCTGAAAACATTACATTCAGTTCCCACTTAAGTATCAGCCTTTTCTTTAAGTATATTATTTTTCATAATAAGTACTCTTTTTAAAAGTATACTTACAGTAAGTGTACTTATTTTCACAAGGGTACTCACACAATTAGGCTGAATGGGTCACTTTGGCACGTCTAAATTTGTCAACATGTCTTTATTTTGAATAGTTCGTTCTATAGCACTGAACAATAGATTTTATTGAGACATTAGCATAGTACTAAACAGACAGCAGACGAGGGGCATTGTGGGATGTACCACACTTCCAGGCCTCCTTTTGTGCCCTTGTGTTAGTCGTATGTCGCACGTCATGTAATATGCCACAAGGCGTCTGCTTTTCGCTCAGGGTCACTGTGTGCAGGAAGGGGGTCTGTCTGAGAGTCACATGGGGGGTCGGGTGTGCAGAAACGGGAGGGGCGGGAGAGGGACTGATTAGGCGATTCCAATCTGGGCCAGTGTGCTTGTGGCTCCCTGGGGTCGTCTGAAAGAAATTGAGCGCTTAATTGAAAGGGCACACATGCAAGGTGAGAATGATGATCGGTGATGAGATGGGGCCCGTGGAGGGGACGAGACGGAGGGAATCATCTCAACCCAATGAAAGAGTGAATGGAGAGTGAGATTGGTCCCTGCAGACCCTCCGTAGTCTGTACTGTTGCTCCAAACAATCACATTATAAAAGCACATATGGGCCGGCCTCTCTCTCTTTGTTTCTCTGCAGGATGATTCACAACGATTCAGTCATGATGAGAAAAGAAAAGCCAATACAGTCTTTCCATTTCAACAGACCGTCATACAGTAGAATGAACACTGCAGACATATAAAGGTCACCTTGAGATGGTCCTCAGGGATTTTATTTGAATTTCTGTGGTGTGAAAATTCACAAAGAATAACAACAGAATAAAGTATGCTTTGTTTTATGTGTATGCTCGGATATGTCATTAATATCATCATCAGCAGAGTACATTTTTCTAACTGCGCATACTCTTTTTGCTTAGCTCGCTTATGCATCTTGCATCAACTAATTTGTCCACAAGGTGGCGACACTTGTGGCCCACTGTTTTGCAACCAAAAAAGCAATGAAAGAGATGGAACAATAATAACAAACTACTGGAGATGCAACAACGGACGCCCGCTTTGACGAATGGCTGTGAGAATCAGTTGAGAGATTATTTTTATTCTCTAATTTAATAATTAGATAAAAAAAATTATCACTCATAACTCCTGAAGCGAAATAACGCAAACACTTAATTTACTTTCCATCTTAAAGGAATAGTTCACCTAAAAATGAAAATGTACTGATAATGTACTCATCCTCAGGCCATCTACGATGTAGATGAGTTTATTTCTTCATCAGAGCAGATTTGGAGAAATGTAGCATTACATCACTTGCTCAGCAGTGGATCCTCTGCAGTGAATGGGTGCCGTCAGAATGAGAGTCCAAACAGCTGATAAAAACATCACAATAATCCACAAGTAATCCACTCCAGTCCATCAAGTAACAACTTGTGAAACCAAAATCTGCATGTCTGTAACCAACAAATCCATTATAAAGATGCTTTTAACTTCAAACCGTTGCTTCTGGCCAAAATACAAGTCCTCTATCATAACATTGATTTCTGTAGTGAAAAAGTCTCGTCTGAATCAGGAGAGAAATCTGCACAGCACTGTTTACAAGTAAAACCAGTCCAAAAACTGTTCTAAACAAATATGTCGGTAGATTTTGATTTGAGAGGACAACAGGGATGGACTTTTTCACTGGAGGAGTGTTATTTTAGATTTTGGGCTTTTGGCCAGAAGTGATGATTTGAAGCTAAAAAATGCCTTAATGATGGATTGTTTTCTTACAAACACACAGCTTTTTGTTTCACAAGACATTAATTGATGGACTGGAGTGGTGTGGATTACTTGTGGATTATTGTGATGTTTTTAATCAGCTGTTTGGACTCTCATTCTGACGGCACCCATTCACTGCAGAGGATTCATTGGTGAACAAGTGATGTAATGCTACATTTCTACAAATCTGCTCTGATGAAGAAACAAACTCATCTACATCTTAGATGGCCTGAGGATGAGTACATTTACAGTAAATTTTCATTTTTAGGTGATCTATTCCTTTAAGATGGAAAGTAAATGAAAGAATGAAAGTCTTTTTGAGGAAACACAGAACTTCTGGCAAAGCAGTAGCACACATAACAAGAATCTACAGTTTTGTTACTCACTTTAGTTTGATGTTCAGTGACTTCACCTGCATGAGGGTCATCTTCGAAATCAGGCATTGGTGGACTGAAAAGGAAGTATTTACAGCAAAAAAAATAAAGTAATTATAGGTTCAAACCAAAGCCAAAAACTGTTGATAACTGTAGTAAACATCAAGTGATACTCATTTACCTTTTGAGTGGTGATTGAACATCAAACGTTCGGTTGAGCTGAGACTTTGACTTTTTCTGTGGTACAGATTCTGTCCTGGTCTGAGTTCTAAGCTTTTTGAGGAGGTGAAGATACTCCGGCAGGATTTTTGAGAGAGCGTCATGTGACGGCAAATCATAGGAACCCCTTTCCATCTGAGAGACAAACAAACAAACAGCATGCTTAACAACAGATCCTGAGAAAAAGTAGTAGCGATAACTATATCAGGCCATTTCAACAATATGGTTGGTACACATACCTGTGCGCTCGCAGGTTCATTCGGTGGTTTCTCTGAGTTCTGCATGAGGCTGGACGGTTCACAGCACTTGACAGGAATATTAAACAGCTGAATGAATGGCTGGATGAAGTGACAGCTCTGACTATGTTAGCAACCTGACCTTGGGTTTCCACAACACAAATCCTGCCTGGCAACTTTATAGTTGCTAAACAAAACATTTATGCAGATACAGGTTTCAGTATAAAGTCAAACACCACTTGTGTTAACTAGCAAAATCCTTTCTAGCTGTTTTGTGCTAAAAGAGCGCCATCCAGATGCACAGGCTCTGGTCTGGTCTGAGATTGATGAGCAGTGAGTGCGAATGGTTTGTGCTCATGCTGTGAGGAGCTTGTTTCTTATTCTGCGAGTGGCTGTCAGCTCAGCACGACACCTGTACGCCTCCAAATACAATGTGTTCCTCTCCCCACGCCAAAGGTTACTGCGTATTAATATTCATTAAGCAGCGCCATGAATCATTAGACGATCATCTGACACCACTGAACTCTGAATATTGTTTTGCTTTAAAGGACATAATGGAAATAGGCCACAAGAGCAGGTTAATCAGAATATGATATCAGAACCAAGAGGAAATTAACATACTGTACGGTTAGCCAGTCATTTACTAGTATTATCTATATTATTATTATAGCCACTGTATTTTATTATGAACTGTTTTCTATTTGAGTATATTTTAAAATGTAATTTATTCCTGTGATGCAAAGCTGTTGTATATACATATATTTTTAAATTAAACAGATTTCTTATGATCAACATTGAAAACACTTGTGTTGCTCAATATTTTTGGGGAAACCAGTATATATATATATATATATATATATATATATATATATACACACATTAAATAAATACAATCAAGGATTTTACCTTAAGGCTATGTGAGTGTGTAAGTGTGTAAGTGTGTGTGTCTGTCAATCACATCCAAATGAGTGTGTTTATCATTGCTAGAGACACATCACTCTCATGAGACAAAAAGCAATACTGCGGCAAACAGCCATGCTGAGTCCAATAACAATATGCAGTTTGTTTAGAACAAAAACTACTTTGTTTCAAAAGATCATTTTCGAGGCAATAATTGCTATTGTTCAGATTTTTCATATTTTTAAATGACTTCCGTTTAGAAAAAATAAGAATTCATCAAAATGATTGGTCCCTCTAACTTGTATTGCTATGGCAACACGGCAGGCCAAAGCCCATCAAGAGCGCTGTGGAGAATTCCTCAACCACACAAACACTCGACTGCGTGAAATCTGCTGCCAGTCAGATGAAGAAAACTATATAGTCCACGTGCAACAAAAGTAATCCAAAGATAAGCCTTATTCTATTCATAGGCAATGTGCCTTATTTTTTCTAATTAATAAAAATAATTACACGTCAATTTGTGGAAGTCTGAGCAAAGTATGTGAGTGCGTTTTAGACCTCAGACTTTTCTCTAAGGCTTAAAATATTAAACATGATAAGCAAGATCTAATAATGTAAATATTACTCCTCTAAAGCGACTGCTTTAATTCCTAATGAATTATTCACCCTGTCCTTGCAGCTATGTGCTCTGAAAGAGACGATGACTGCATCCAGTGGTTCAGAAAGCCTTCATTTCACATTCAGACCAGTAGAACAGCAGATCTGACCCGTTTCCATCAGTCCGGGGCGGACCGGGACGAAGATGTGCGAGAGACTGACAGACGGGGTGAGAGGCCTGTGACTCCAGATTGGCCGGTGATTGCGGTGAGCTGAACGCTCTGCGCTGTCTTTTTATCCCGGCATCAGTATTCAGCACACAACCTACTAAACACAGCAAATAGGGCTTCAGAAGACTGACAGGACTGAGTCTGCCGCCACACGGAGCTCAATTACCCTCAGAACGAGGTGACGTCTCCTGAGACTTCTTCACCGACACGCTCTCTCCGTCTCTGTGTCCTTTCTCGCATCCGTTTTGGCTCACTTTTTCCTGTTTTTAAAATATATGACATTCTTTGATTTAATAATTGAATAGCTTTTAAAATATGTATAATGGGAATGTTACACAGTACAATCTAAATTAAGCTAAAGTGTGATATCAAAGCTAATTGGAAAAATAACTGTTGTTTCCAAACAGGTTTCCCTGTCTGTCAAACATATAGTCCTGGCGGTTCATTGGTCGAGCCAGAAGATGTCATACTAAACCTTTTAAGATTTTAAACTGTGGTCAATGTTTCTCATCCAAATGTAACTTTACATTACTATTTTCCTCAGATTTAAACCAGCTTTTGATTCTGTACCTTTAAGAGTTGCAGTAGTAACCTTTGCTACTATGATTGGCTAATGTCTTCAAGTAAACAAGTAACTCTAAGTCTGTTGAATATGGAAATGCATATTCAAAATCCTGTAAAGTAATATAAGGCCCTATGAAATCATTTTTTCCCCCTGTTTTCCTTATGTTTACATTTCCCAAATCTAATTTGATCCCCCTCCCCCACCAGATTCTGTGTTTCTCTTATTCATCTTTTAATTAAAGAGCAGGTCATATGGTATTTTAAAGTGTCCTAATATTGTGTTGGAGTCCCCTACAACAGGTTTAAATGCATCTAAGGTCAGAAAACACTGTGATTTCTCAGAATATACATTTAATATTAGAGTCATTTGCCAATGATTTAGAAACGATTCGTTCCAAGCAAGTTCGGAGCAAATCCCTGCCTTCCATAAGCCTACTCTGCTGTGATTGGTCAGCTGGCCAAGCCTGTTGTGATTGGCACATAAAGGAGTCCTTGAGCAAGTTAGCTAGCGCTATCATTAGTCTCGCGTAGCCAGACCTTCAGACTGACGGCTGAAGGTCTGGAATTCATGGCAGCTTTCATTGACCAAGGCCCGCCCATGAGGCCGTTTGACCGACATGTCAAACAGCCAATCACAGTTCGTTTCGTTTCAGCATCACGCTTCGGGGCGTGGAAATGTTGCCACAATAACAGACCGGTGTGTAAAACTCTCAGACGTATTTGAAAGATTCTATGCCGCGAACTTTAAATATTTCACATACTTTTGAGAATCCAGCGTTTAGTTGATCCTGATAAGCGCTTGTCATCACAGTTGTAAACACTACGGCTTTCTTCTTTCGTGAGGGGGTTTGGCGCCACGGCATGTTTGTTTCCAGACGGAACGTTAAAGAACGCGACATAACACGTCTCCCGGAAATCCTGTATAATTCAACCAATCCGATGATGACTTCGAAACTCCTGAAGTGTTTCCACTTTTGTGTGCCGTATGCATCAGACTTCAGCCAACGGTTCGTGAGCATGACGTCTGAGGCTGAGACTAGCTACCATTGACAAAGCACCTTTACATAGAACAATAATATAGTGCTCCAATCTGTTCTTATAATAATGACATAAAATACAAAACACTTATGCAAGCGAATGCCCACAGCTAAAGTTTAGCTGCTAAACTGTGAACACTTAAAACAATAATGGTGGATATGTTAGCCGAGTGCTAACGTGACTAACTGATGAAACAATACAGTTTGTAAACCAAAATATGTCTACTGTAATGTTTGAAGAACGACAGACAAAAGATGCTCTGTCTTAACTTTTAACCAGAACGCAGAACAGCTGTATCACAGGCCAGCCGCCTAACTAACTCTCTCGTCTCTCCCGCATTAACCCCATAACTGCCGGTGCAGCAAAATAAACAGCAATTTCACAATGATTATAAAGTCTGTGCGCTACACTACATTCTTTATTATTAAACGAAGTGATTATTATAACAACGTCTACATTAATGGACACATTCTTAGGAAATAGTGGGTTCACCGTAAATTATAAGAACTACTTCAGTAAGACAGTAATATCGTGCTTTACCTGGAAACCTAAAGCTCACATATTAGCACAAAAAGTTGATATTTTGAGCACTCAATTGAAAATGTACACATAACGTATCATTCGTACTTACAGGTTGTGGTTCGGAGAGCTTGTTAGTACAAATAAAGAAGATTAGAAGCCGACGAAGATAAAAGTCAAAATTAGAGAAGCAGTCCTCGGTAAAATGACAAGCACACAACAAAAGGTTCAAACTGTATTTCTGTGGTATCCTTGAACACAGCGTCTTCTCAACAAGATGTAAACACACTAACTAGCGGAAGTGTTTGTGGGCAGGTCAGACTCGCGGGCAGGCGGGGATTGTGCAAATGTGTTACCCAGTGACGTATACCGGTAACAGGCAAAAGATTCGAAAAAATGACGACTCGTTAAGGCGATTCAGAATCGACTCTCTCTTTTGAAAGACAATATCTTTATTTATCGTGCACTTTTTTGTTGCAACAACTTTGCAGATTGTTTTAATTTAAAGGGGTCATATGATGCGATTTCAATTTTTCCTTTCTCTTTGGAGTGTTACAAGCTCTTGGTGCATAAAGAAGATCTGTAAAGTTGCAAAGACTAAAGTCTCAAATCCAAAGAGATATTCTTTATAAAAGTTAAGAGTCAGCCACGCTTGAGGTATTCGGCCAATCACAACGCACTGGATAGCTGGCCAATCAGAGCACACCTCGCTTTTTCAGACCAATGAGCTTTGTAAAAAATCGACGCGTTTCAAAAAGGCGGGGCATAGAGGAGAAACAATAATGTACAGTATGTGGAAAATAATGTGTTTTTTGAACATTAAACCGCATAAACACATTTCATTACACCAAATACACAAAATAATGTTCTTTTTAGCAGCATCATATGACCCCTTTAAGGATAACTATGTTATAAATTGCAAAAGAGATATTTTTCAAAAACCCATTTGACCTGCTCTTTAATTTTATGAATTCTTAATTTATTAATTATTTTACTAATTTTATTAATTATTATTATTTATTTATTTTTTACATTTTAAAAAAAATTTATTAATTAAAAAACACAGAAAAGATTTGTAATCAGCTGAATTCATAAAATTTTAACAACTGAATAATTTATTAAAGTTTTAAAAATAACAGTGCCCTATGAAATAGATTTTATTTATTTTCAGAAATTCTGTGTTGTCTCTTCTCGATTCTGTTGTCTATTCTGCTA